TTCTATTACCCTTCACAAAAGAATCTAACAATTCATGAATATGTGTAGGAAATGCTTGGTGTTTTAATGGAGGATAAAACTTTTCTCGCCTCCCCCTCCCCCCCCCCACAAAATAAAACATTAGTCTCTCCACTATTTGGACTCCATTCTAAGAGGAAAAAATATATTAAAAGTTTTAAAAGGTTTTCTGCTCTAAGATGTTTATTATAGTGCCATTCCTGACTGTAGAATTGAAACAAATCTGGGTTCCACCAATAAGAGGATATTTAAGTAAATTTGACATAGTCTGCAAACATCATACAACAATCACAGATGGTGTTACCAAGGTTATGAAGTAAAATAAGCAAAAACTTTTGTGATGGTCAGAAAAGGAAGAGGGCAGCTGATCGTGGAAGGATTCAGAAGATCTAGAGGTAAAAAGAGAGATAGACCCTAACAAAATGAATTAAATCAATAAATTCATAAAAACGGGTGACCTTCAACAGGACTTTGTGAAGAGAGACATTCAAGGTGGGTGAGCTTGAACTGACTTGACTGCAAGAGGGAGGAGGCCCATGTGGTTTGCATTTCAATACAGGCCAGCCTGACACGCCCACACCCAGTGGCTCTGACAGTGAGGCATCTACTGTCAAAGGAGAAATTACCCCATGTAAAACTGGGGAGTGGCAGTCAGAAGCCCTGGGCAGATTGGGAGGGGACAGACATCAGCAACGTAACAATTTCAGAACCATGAAAAAGGTGAATCTGGGAGCCTGCAGATCTGTTGTTTGTCCTTGTTTCACTTACTTCAGCTTCATTTCATTTCAATTTAATCTCTGGCTTTATTTTACTACTCTTATTTTCCCTTCAACCTATCAAAAACCCTCTTAAGAAAAGTATCAATCCTCCCATCTCACATTCTTCTTTAATTTATTTGATTAGATTTTTTTTTCCCTACAATAGCAAGTGAATAAGGAAATATCATCTCTCTTCCTCATCCCTATCCCATGGAGATGATTAGTATTAACATGATTTTTATCCTATCCCTTTTCCTCTATTTTCATACAAAAATACAAGGTTTTCTCCAATTTCATGATTCTAAACATGTTACTCTGTTTTCTCTTAACACATGTTCCAAATACAAGACACAGAGATGAAGTCACTTGTCTCTGACCACATGGCCTAATTACTAGAAAAGCTAGGATTTGAACCAAACACGAAACAAAACAACTTTGGAGCCTAAGCTCTTAGCTGCTACAAATGACTGTCCATGACAGAAAAAAAAGCTGAGAAAGATCTCTATTTTGGAGAAAAGATGGGAAGGCTTACCCTAAACTCCAGCAGAACTTCCTGACTTCATATATCCTTTCCACAAGAATGTCTATCCCTTCCTGAAGAGCAGAGGCCACTGACAGCAGGTTCCATGTCTCAGATGTCAGCCAACCACAGGTGCTGGGGAGGCGATGTGCTGGGCAGTTTCTTTGGGTATAACCCACCTGGCCACCCCTGGCGGCTGTGCGTTTTGACTTGTAACTGTCACTATTAATCACTATTCATTTGCTTTTGCCCCAAATGGCCTTCTGGTTGTTAGATGAAGCAGGAAGGATGTCAGGATTTCAGCCCACAAACCTTTTGGCTTCAGATGATGCTCAACATCATGACGGGCAATTTTATAACAGTGAAAAAAAAACTGTGCATATGTGCCAAGTGAGTTGGGACATTTAGTGACTCTTTTAATTAAAATTTGGACATGAATTTAGATTTGTTACTGAATAACCATCGATAATGCCAATGAATGGTTCATTCTGAATGAACCCTAGGCTGTAGGATATTGCTATTTCAAATTCACAAATCATTCTCCTCCCCACTTCTTTGCATCTCCATGCCACTTTTTCTTTTCCACTCTCATTACCGTGATCTTCTTGTCTCTTGATTGAAAACAAGGAAAACGAAGAAAACAAAAGTAAAAAGCTTTGCTCATTAGAACGTGTATTATTCTGAGATGTGTGTTAGAATTCTGATATTCAGATTTGTAAATATTAGCACAGAATTGCTCTTTGTCCCATGAATTTAGTTTGATACAACTAACATCTAAGACTGCCAGCGTGCAACTGCAGTGTAGTAGGAGTTGGGGATACAAGAATAATGCACAGTCCTTCTGTTATAGAGCAGCCCCAAAAGCACATTGGGGGCCAAGCTGTTATAAAACAGCCCCGATATTAAACGGGTTCCTGGCTGTGGGTCCTCACCCGCGCACTTAAAAGAAACTTATAAATACTCCACTACAGACACACACAAAAGGTTAATAAAAGATTTAGTTACAAAAATAAAAAAATAAAAAAAATGTACAACTCAGAAAAAAAAATAAAAAAATAAAGTCTTTAATGTGTCCTACCCGATCCGACAACCTAAAAACCCAAAGTCACTCTCAGAGCTGGCCAGACGCTGCGAGCTGACGGAAAGTCAAAATGGGAACCCCCCAAAGCCCATGTGTCTGCCTTTTATATCCACCTGGCTACTTAACCCCACCCTCAGGTCCTGGCTACCTTCCCTTTGGTGGTGATGGGATTTGGAGTTCCCAGTGTCTTTGGCTTTGGCCTGGAGTGGGGGTGGAGTCCACAAAGCCTGTATGGAATTAACTTTAGGACATCCTTTTCCCCCTAACACTTCCCCAGAAGGAGAAGTGTAATGAGATTATCTATAGTGTGGTATGCAAGCATAACAGAAGTTCCATACTTCCATTATAAGGAGTACTAACTATAAGGAAGCACAAACAAGAAAGTCCCCAGAGGGATAAAGAAATGAAGGCAGCCTTTCTGGAAGAAAGCAACTGTTCAGCTGGGGTTTTGAAGAATAAATAAGAGTTTTATAGGTGATCAAGTGGAAAGAGAAAGTAAGACAAAGGAGACAGCATTTGCAAAGGCACAGAGATGAGAAATGTCAGATATGTCTGCCACTTTGTGATTATGGAGTGTGACAGGCAGATGAGGGAGTGGGAGTAGGAGATGAGAAGGATGGGTTTTTAGGGATGAGATGCTTAAGTGCATGGTTTAATTTATTTCTGTATTTATGTTTGCTAATACCAGAAACTGTTGTTTGAAAAATACTAACTCATTTATTATGGGAATTGCACCTGAGAGGAAGAAAGCATGCATTGTACAAAAAGGAAGAATGATATAAAATATATATAAATATTAAAATTTAAAAAATTAAAAATAAAATACTAACTCATTTAATCCTCATAGCAAGTTAGGTGACTGTTGACCTGCAGTATTGAAATAAGCATTGTCTAAGAAAATCTAAGGTTGTTGCTTCATGGGGAAAAATAGGGTAAATGTGATGTTATAAAACCAGACTCAAGAATTCTGAAAGCCATACGCGACACCTCCTGTAGCAATAAGTCCTCATGCCCCATCAGGAGATTTTGGCTGGATTCTGAGATCTGGAAAAGGGACCACCATGTGCATTACTGTGCACCTGAGCCTTTTCATACATGTCATTTAACCCTCAACATCATCCTGTGATCCTGTGAAGTACCTGGTTGTATTCTCATTTTACACATGAGGCTTGGCAAGATCAAACAAACTATACAGGTCCCACAGCTGGTAAAGTGAAGTGGCTGAAATTTGTCCACCTCAAAAATAGGGGTTTCTCCATTCCACCATTTCCCAGAGAAGGACCAGAGAACACCAGACACTAGGCATGCACCGGCCTGGTATGGGTACTGGGAAGAATCTGCGTGGTGTTTCTTGGGTGACTTATTGGGGAGCATGAAGAAGAGATGTGAGAGGAAAGCTTATATCCTTTGGGTACCTGGTATGTAAAATCACTAAATCATTAGATATTTACTGAAACAGTGTGCTCTTTCTTCCTGGAGATCCATCACAAAATGAACTTTCATGTGGGAACAATTTGTGGCATAGACTACGCTTGCCTGTTTCTTGAACTAACCAAGTTCTGATAGATACGAGTCAAAATAACTGAAATGAAACTCTTCTAGTATCCCTTTTCAAGATACATTGTCTGCATTTTTCTGTATAAGTAGAAAAGGCTGAAAGTAGTCATGATTACAGCATACTGGAAAATGACAGAGCAATGAGCATTTATATTAGTGAAACCAAAGGCATCTGACATTAAAAGAATTTAGGTGAAAATCAAAAAACAAAAGTTCAGAAAAGAGAATGCTTTTTATATTCACAATTTTGATTTGTTCACTATATTGGCAATTGCAGTATGATATTGATAAAATCTAGAAAATAAAATTACATCTCTTAGGTGAATTGCAAAGAAATGGTGCATTAAGGATGAATTTGTCATTACATTTAGCTTTGGTTGGTTTTTTTGGTCTTTTTTTTTTTTTTTTTTTGCCTTTTTAAAAAGAAGTCTCAAGACAGCATTGTTTAAGTATTTATCTCAAAGAATGACTCCAGTGGTAGATTTTTCTGACAATCTTCTTTGGGAGAAAGCACAAAGAGAACAATCACTAGCATTTTGCACTCATCTCTCGTGAGTCTGGCACAGTGCTAAGCATTTGCACGTGTGACTCATCCTCACAACAATCTGCCAAGGGGGCATGATCTGCCCCATTCTGAAAAGGGATCTGCAGTTCAGGGAGATGAAATTATTAAAGCTAAAAGTTATTAAATCTAAATAATCTCCAATACCTATGGAGATTAGAACCTAGGTGTGCCTGGCTTCCACACCTTAACTTTCCCTGGGCTGCTTTCCTTAAAGGAGATGATAAGATCCCTTGGGTCAGCTCGCCTTGGTGACAAATGTTTTGCTGCACCTGGGACAGGTGTAGCTTGTTCCGGTAATCCACGGAAAAAGAGGCGGGGCCTGCTGCCGCCTCTAAACCAAGTAGTCCAGAGTTTTGCCAGAGAGCCTGTTCACGTCTGTGGCCTTGCCTTTGCCCCTTTGGGAAGCTTTTCTACTATTCAGTAAGATTTCGACGGAGGATGATTTCCTCAAATAAAGGAATCAAAAAGCAGAACCAGGGACCTGGGACGCGCTGTGGACATCTTTCTGCTGACCTGAGCCAGTAAATTATCTCACGGTGAGTGGTCTTCGCAAATTGCCTTCAGGTGTTAGTTTAAGAGTGTAGATAAAAAAGAAAAGTTAAAAAGATTTTTAAGATTTAGTAAAAGGGAGCGATTGATACACACCAGGCCTGGTAATCATGCCCTACAAACCTGTCAGTTTGTAGTAAAGTGACACGGGTAGCTGAGGGGAATCCTTGCCCCATGGTTTATGGTCATAGACTTGGCTCACTTTGATGAATCAGCTAGTTTGAATTATTAGAAAAATGAAATGTTTGCCCTCGTTCAGAATTTCCAAATGCCCCTGCAGGATAAAAAGATCCCTTTTCTCTGTCTATTTAATTTTATAATATGCATAATGGTCTCCATGAAGCATCTAGTCCTGAATTTATCGGAGCTTTAAACAAACGTCATGATCCGTTTTAACTTAATGATTAATGTGATCCATTCAAAATGTTGTAGATCTTTTCTTGTGCTTCCTAAACCTGCCCACAGATGGGGGCTTTCTCGTTAAATGCAGATACCTAAATACCACTGAGAAATGGAAGGGAGGAGAAAAAGCCTGTCTACAATAAATATTGTAGCCAATTAGGCTTCATCATAGTAATTTCTCTGGCTTTGTAATGTTTGTTTACTGGGTTTTTAGGGAAATGGTCACCGTTTCTGATATCCAGAACCATAAATTCTCCATCCTCCTACCCTGAAAAGTTGTGACAATGGGAAATAATTTCCTTCCTTACCAGACCCCATCTCAATTATGAATTAGACATTTGAAGATTCCCACCCAAACTTGTAAATCTGTTTGTGCACATTCAAAGAAAGCACTCATACATTTCCTAAAAACCCACACATTAATATTGCTTACTTTTCAGCAGGGGTAAATGAGGGTCTCAGAGACCTCTCAGAACAGGCTGGAGTTAAATAATATTGCATGTTTTTCATTTTACTGTGATGAATGCAAAGCTATTAAATAACCTTTTAAAGAGTTGGTGTAATTATCTGTAAACAGTAATGTTACAAAAAAAAAGGTCAAGTTGTCCTGCCATTAGATGTTTATGGATATAAACTGGATTTATGTTTCCATAAAACAGGCACCGACTAACTAGATTAATTCTCCACAAACTAAACCAACTGTAGTAATATTTAGACACAATAAAATGATACCAATTAAAACAATTTTATTTTTTGTGTCATATTGATTAATGGTGCACTAAAATTAACCAGAGACCTTAAACTCAGAATGGTTGGCAAAAGGCATCCACATCTCAATATTATTACCAACAAGAAGAGCAGTTAAGTGAGATGGCTGTGCAATAGTATGAATATTTAATTAATAATTAGTCATGTAATTTCTCCTCAGGAATTATTATCCCTCAAACTGGTTTGTGAATTTAATTATTAGCAGCCTTTTTGTTTCCATGTCCCCTCATTACTGTCAGGATTGATGTAACATAAACTTCATTAAAAATTAAAGCAAGAGTCTTAATTACAAGGCTACCCTGACTGAAGTTAGAATTAGCCAAGTCAGTGATGTGCAAATGAGTGCATTATTTAAGAAACATGCTGGAAGTAGTTATGCTAATGTAGAAGGTTCGCAGTAGCAGACCTTTTCACTTGCAGTTGCATATTCATTAAATGCACTATGCAAATTTAATGTAGCAGTCTTAGTAATGCGTTGTTAATTTATTCAGATTTATTGAGTACGACTTGTAAAAAAAAGTACAAATTTAATTACTCTATCTAGTAGGGATGATATTAGGAGATAGCAGAGGTTTAAAATGTGTTGATCTGGATTACTGCAGTTTGATGGAAGACGTGGTATCAAAGGACACAATTTTGATAACTGGGCTTGAAAGAATATTTGATTTACTTATGGAATGATCTAAGAAATCACTAAAATTGCACATGTTCCTTCCCAATAGGAAAGTAAAAAAGTCTCGGTTGTATTAACTTAAGAGCTAAAGCAGTGCTGAGTCCACAGCCTAATGGTCGTAATGACTCTACCGAGACCAGTAAAGGTTATGGATTGATATCTGTGAGAAGCAAACTGTCTTTGTGGCAAGTTCATTGGTGGTTGCGGGCGCCTCTGGTGCGCCGCCGACCAGCTGGGGGGGGGAGCGATACGGATGGTAGCCTCCCTCTCCCGAGAAACACGCAGCGCGGGCCAGGGACTATCTTTCAGAGTGGATGGATACTTAAGCTGGATTTTCCTGGGAGGCCAAACCCAGCGCATGGTGGAGAAATTGTGCTCTTTAAACCATGCCTGCACCCTGGCTTGCGCCTGCTGGGACTGTTCTTTACACCTTTGCACACACCTAGTTCTCCAAAAACCCTGCAGTGTAGGTTTCCTTATCCCCATTTTACAGATGAGAAAACTGAGGCCGAGATTGACACAGTAGTTGATGCAGACGGAAGATTTGGGGTTTAGATCCAGAACAGTACTCCTCCCATGTCTGATTTCACTGCTGTCCCTACCTGCTTTTCCTTCACCATCGCTCTCCTCCCACCTTCCCCCCCCTTGCCTTTTTTGGCTTGTTTTGCCTTCTTCCATCCTCTTTCTTGATCTCTTGCTCCATTCCTTCCAGAAATTCTTCTCATCTTGCAACTTTCTTCCAGTGAGCCACCCTCTTTCCTCTCCCTCCAAACCCTCTTCCTTTCATTCTCCCCTCCCTTTCATTGCTCCCAGATTCGTTCATGTATATATATATACATGTAGGTGTGGATGTAACTTAAAAACTGATATTGACTGATCTTTTTTCTTAAATAAGTGCAGCAAGCAAACGTATAGGTTTGCTTAGAATAAAAACGTATAGGTTAAGTTAGAATAAAATTGTTTAACGTTTAACAGAGCAGCTCCTTACACGGCCATTATGATTGTGGAGGCAACAAAACCAAGAATCCTCTTTTCCATCTAAGGCTCTAAGACCACTGTGCATGTGAGGACTAGTAGCTTGGGTGACTTAGAACCCCTCACCCATCTTTAATTTTTTTTTTTAGTTTCCTGCCTTTTATAATCACAAAAATGAGTCCAGTACATTTTTAATACAATTAATATTTCATCTTGGTTTGGGGGTTACTGCTTCAAATTGGTAAATTTTCTGGAGAAAAGTCAGTACTTTATACTGAGCTCCAGTAATGAGCAGGCCAAATATTACTAACTGTGCTGAGTACCTGGTACTTAGCACCCATCTTTGGAGGCATTCCAAGTGGTCTGATATACTCAAACAGCCTGACCTGTACATATTGATCTCCATCTGACAGAGGGAGAAGCTAAGCACCTCACCTTAAGTGTATAAATTGATCTCAGGCTGTAATTTGGTGCCTACATAAAGGCCTTGCTAAATAACTAGTTAATCAGGATCCAAAAATTAGTTTGGTGGCAAAACAGACATTCTGAATCTTCTATATAATTTTTTCACCTTAGGCTCACATCTAAGGGTGAATCGATCAGATCCTAGTTCACGTAACTCCACCTTTTCCTTGTTGCTGTTCATTGTTCATTTAATGCATGCCATTCTGCCTTGGATCACACTCACCTGTATGTTTCTGCCACTAGATTGCAAACTTCTGGGAATCAGAGACTGACCTCATTCATCTTTGTGTGGTAGCTGTGATGTGCTAATGTTTAGACACCAGTGCCCTAAAAAAAAAAAAAAATCCCTGGTTTGCTGATTTCCTTGGTAAATGCCCCCAACATATAAATTTTGAGATACCAATGTGATGTCACTAAATACAGAGTTGGGAGAGAGAAACAGTCACTCCGTTATATAGTATGTCACCCACCACATAGATGTGATGGCTGTAAATACCTCAAGAGCATAGACAGTAAGATAAATAGGAAGTGATGACTTTTGCGTATGTATTACCTTTGCTTTTAGTGCAATATATTTAGTTGTATATAATTTTTAGTAACGTCTGGGTCTTACCATCAACTCACAAAATTCCTCAAAATGAAAAATCAGCTTCAGTTCACCATAGAATAATGGGAATAAAAATGTTTACTGTTAAAAATAAACAGAAGAACCATTTTTAAAATGGGGCTATTTCTCCTTCTAAAGTAGTGCTTCATTATTTGTAAAAGGAGACAACACAACCCAAAAATAAAAATCTGAGTTGACTCATAAGAAAATATTTGTAATTATATAGTATCTGCTAGGATATTTGCTGCAAAATGTTGGCATCTTGGAGCATATAGGTTTCTTTAGTGATGGCAGAGAGGTGTACACACTGCCCACTGGACATAGCGGAGTTATTACACAGAGAAGTAATAAGTTATTTAGAATGTAGTCATTTAAAAAAAGCATGATTCTGCTACCACAGATACCAGGTACAATGCTTGGTGCTAGGGATGCAAAGAGCAGAGTGACTGGACATCTCCTACTCTGGACATCAATGGTGGACTCCCTGCAGGAGGGGGTAATAAGTTCTCCAACCAAAGGAGGGGCAGGGATGGGGACAGAGCCTGGGCCTGAAATGGATGTGGTCCATGTAGAGAACAAATAGCAAAGAAGCCCAGAAGCTGGCATGCAGTTGGCAAGTGGGAGGAGTATGAAACAAAGCTGGTGGGTGTCGGCATGGGGCAAGTGACCCATTTCCTTGTGCACTCTTGATTGTTGGAAATGGATGTGGAAATGACTCTGAGGTCACTCTCCTTACACTCCCCACCACCCTGTGTGAAGCTTGCTTGTTTGTCTGTCTTTCCTGCTAGCCCGTAAATTCCTGAAGGGCAGGATGAGGATATTCAGCGGGCTCGCACAGGGTCTAGTTGACCACAGGGGCTACATGAGAAAATGCGTGGAAGTGAAGGGATGGATGTGTCCCTGCCCTCATCCATCTTGCAGGATTGTGCCCAGGGTCCAGGCAGGAGCTGACTGGGATGGAGATGATACTTGTGATTAATCTATATTTGAGACCTGCTGGAGGATGTTCATATCCCCAAACTTCCCTCCTCTCGAGGATAAGACTCCAGTCCAGCCATGAGCAGACACTCCTTCCTGATTCTAAGTCCTCGCGGGAA